AACGTTTTGTTTTAAACATGCGAAAAAATAATGAAAAATGTTCTGCTATAAACACTTAATAACACCTCATTATTAAACATTAAAAACCTATTTAAAATGTATAGAAATATAATGTGGTTTAAGTAACAACTTTCAGGGTAAAAAAAAAAAAAAACAAAAATATTCAAAAATAAAATATGGAAAAAGTTTTTGTTTCTATATATTTCTGTTGCATTAACGTGTGGGAAACATGAAAAGAAACTATTTTAAATAACACAACGAAAATCTTAAGAATTTTTTACTTATTATTATTTATTGTAAAATTAAAAAAAAAATAAAATATGACAAAAGAAATAAACTAAACTAAAAGGTTAAAAAGAAAACTGAATAATGTAGTGACTATAAATATAGGAAAAAAATTATAATAATATTGAATTTTTTTTACTCCTTATACACTTGTCACAAAAAGACGTCGCCAGATGTCAATGTTTATAGTAAGGAAAATATTTAAAAGTAAACTTAAAAGTATAAAGGTCAAAGGTTAAAAGTTGTAAGATTTATTCATAATTGAAGAAAACTTTTAAGATTAAAAGAGCTTTAAGCAGCAACTGGTTGAGTTAGAAAATCTAAGTATTATTTAAAAGTGAAAAAAGCAACTTACATAAAGCTTCCTTTAATTTAATTTATTAACCCTATAATTAACCTCATTAGTGTAACATACATCAGTTATATTCTGTGTGTAATATTGTGTCACAAATGTAGATGACATGAGAGAGCTTTCGAACTCTTACAAGTGAATGCACGTAATTTACATAAAAAAATGTATTCAAATTTTCTTTAATGACAACAAACAAACACACATATACTCACTCACTTACTCATACATTAAATATAAAACTACAGACATACAAATTTATACTTACATAAAAACATACTTAAAAAAATAAAATGTAAAATATGTAAAAAATGTAACAAGAAAAATATGTATGAAAAAAAAGTAAAGAAAGAATGTAGTACAAACAAAATAAAATTGGTGGGTTCATGAAAAAAAAAAAAAGAAATAACTAAAGAGTAGAAGTAGAGTAGTAGTGCAGTGATTGTAGTATGAATGTATAAAATGTAGTTGTAATAGTAGTAGTAGTATTACAAAAAATATGAGTGTATAAAAATAATTTTCTTAAACAAACACACTAAAGCAGAGAGCTAAAAGTGTGCTAACATTTATAAAAGTGAAAACAAAAAACTGGAGCTGAAATTAAAATATTATTGCCTATTTTTAGGAGTAAAAATTATTTCAAGTTTAAAAATTTAAATTTTAATCAAGTTTTGAAAAGTGATCTAGGAACAAACCTAACAATCATGTCACTAATTAAGGCCAGCCCATTTCTAATTCACTGTACGCGAATTCTTATTCACTTTCCAATACGTTAGTAATTACTACGTCTTAACTTTTGGTTCATCATAAACAACGAATTCAATTTAGCAAAGTCCATTCCTAAGCTTCTTAAAATGAAGCATTAAAAGATATCAGTTATCCTACAAACATAATCAGCATAATTTTTTATATTATCGTTATTGAAATGTGATATAAAACTGCAGTTGTAGGTGGCTTAAGGACTCGTAATACTAATACTGACGACTTAAGCTTGAGAAGCCTGTTTTTATCAAATACAAGTCGATTTGCCTCCATTCAAGAGGCATTTCTGTATTCGAAAGTAATAAATGAATTTGACTGATATCTTCGTTATTTATAGACTGTTTCTGCTGAATTTAAGTACAAATGATCTCGAAAGCTTGATGTCTAATGGAATTATTAAAGAGTCTTTAGAAAATAGATTTCTATAGAAAGACGGACATAGCTTAATCTATTCCGCTATATAAAAAGACATCGGGTCTTTACTTTACTTTAACTATAAAGGAAAATATGTTGTGAAAATTACAAACGGAATGACAAACTTTATATACCCTTCTCACAAAGGTGTAAAGTATAATTATAACGGTAATTATCAGACAATACACTCAAAAAATAACAGAGTTTTCCCTACTCAAATCAATCCAGAGCAGTACAAAATACTTGATTCAAGTACGGAGCCGTTAAGTGTGAAAAATCTAATTTAAGCCCATTTAGGATCTAAGTCATCTTACAATGTACTTATTTGGAAAGATTTCCTTTTGGTTTAAGCTCAAATGCATACTTGATTTGAGATGAAAATAAGATTAATTTAAGAATGCAAAATATTGAATTAATAACAAAATGGACTTGATTTGAGTTTGATTCGTACTTGATTTTAGAATTCTGAACATTTCAGCAAAAAAGTAATAGGGTTCTATAAATCGACTTTCGAACAATCGACTTTTTGTCGAAAAAAGTCGAATTCGACTATTTTGTTGCAAAAAAGTTGTTAACTCGACTATCGTCTATGAAAAAAGTCGAAAAATCGACATTGTAAATAAAAGTCGAAAAAGTCGATAAGCCGAAAAAAGTCGAAAAAAAAAATCGGAAAAAGTCGTAAAAAGTCGAAAAAAGTCGGAAAAAGTCGAAAACTCGAAAATAGTAGAAAAAAGTCAAAAATTTTAAAAAAAGTGGAAAAAAGTCAAAAACTCTAAAATATTCGGAAAAACTCGAAAACAGTCAAGCGGCGCAATAGGGGCTCAAAGTAGGGTACCTTCGACATGTAAATTTTTTCAATGCGTGTCATTTTTTTTGTTTCTTATCCGATATCAAATATTTTTATAATATTTATAACTTAAACTTGTATACTCCTTGGCTACGCCCGTGTCAAATTTTATCCTGATCACACTAGCCGTTCAGAAATGTCAGATTTAGTTCCAAAATATTTACTTTCTGCCCCTGTGTAAGTTGATAACGAAAGCTGTTGCTTAATTTTATGTCCCCCTTTTTTAAAGAGAGTCTTAATTACCAGCCAAAGTATTGCCTAGTTTCTAGTACTTAATATTTAAGGCACTTTTTTTAAACAAATTCTTTAAAACTGCTGCCCATTTTGCCACTAGTTCCACTTATTCATTATATGAATTGTAGTTTTATTTTTCTTTAGTTTTGTATGTTTCGCTATTATCAAAAAAGATTTAATTCTTTATACTTAAAAAATGCTTCCGAAGCATTTCAGTGGGAATTTGTTATAAAAGGAAGTACTGCTAGAAGTAGTACTTAGTTGTTTATCATATACATATATAGTAAAATACAGTGGATGACAGAGATTTATCTAGTTTTTTTTAATGTGTATGTGTGCTAATGTTGATGTATGACAAATTTTCTTTTATGAACACAAACAAAACAAAAAAGGAGAATATAGAAAAGAAAATGTTTAAAAAAAGAGAAGAAAAAAAAACGTAGTTATTTATGTTGATTTTAAGTCAAAAGGAATTAAGAGATATTTGAATTAGAAATACATTCAACATTTCAATGAGTTTTCTATCTCGCTCGCATGTAGGTGTTTTAGAATTATCAAAGCATACTTATACGCAGGACAACAGCTACGTTGACAACAATCAAGGACCCTACAAAACTTAAATGAAAGCAAAAAAATATTAATAGAAAAAAAAAACGAATGAGAAATATACTTTTTTGTGAAAATGTTGTACACGTGTTTTAAAATGTCTTTAAAATATGTTAGAATGTATTCATAAATTTTTGTAGGTTTGCTTTTGTTAATCAAGAAGAATAAATGGTTGTATGAATAATAATAAAAAAAAACCTAAAAATATGCAAAAATTAAAAAAATAATAATAGTAAAAAAATTGTAGCATATTTAACATGAGTTGAAAATGTAGGTCAGATTTAAGGGAATACATGTTAAATGAAAGCAAAAAGAAACATAAGGCATACTTAGGGGAGCTAAGGTTCGTTTTTAATATAAAACATGCATAATTTTTACCATGAATAATTACAAATATATAAAAAAAAGTTAAAGCAGTGATTCATGTTACTTGAGTTTATGCAAAATTTATTATTATTTAACAAATTTCTTTTATTTATAACATTTAATTTAAGAAAAAACTTGTTAAATATTTCATTTAAAATAGAACAAACTTTTAAAATGTTCATTTAAAGAAATTAGTTAACAAAAAAGTTTAAACTTGAAGGCGAATGAAATTAAAATTCTATTGCTTAGTTTGTATATTTGTAGCATACTGTTAGGAGCTTACTAGTTTTGTTATTAAGTGCATATTTTAAGGAGTTTTTAAAGTAGAATGAATATAAGGGGAACTAATTAGTTTATAAGTGAAAAGGAAAATAGAGGAAGAGCATTATAGATCCCAAGGAGTATATTTGACATAATTTGTAACCCTAAAGTTTCTGGTAACGTTTCTAATCAGAACAATCTTATTTTCGCCATCAAATAAGGATTCTTAATACATGATTATAAAACTCAATCGTAACTTGTAAGAAATTAACTGGTGGGAATATTAAGCTGTCAAAAGTGATCATCCTTTAACAGTGTAACTGATTTCTCAACATAACACAGCGATCTATAAACGATCAATATTCTTGCGCAAGTGATGGCGATTAGAATATTTAGGTTATGATGATAAGAGGGTAATTATCAATCAGAATTTGGAATATATTAATTAAGATGTCATTGATCATGAAGCTGTAGTCGTTTACCGGTTAAGCGAGAGTTGCGACAGAACCCTGCCTTGAGAACTCTTTGCTTAAGTCTACGAAAATTGCAACATTTATCTTTAAACTCTTAACCCAGGTTGCTTTGAAACTCTCTTTCTATATTTAAATGTGATAAAAGAAACTGAATGAAGTTAAGTATAACACTTCTTTTTTAACTCTTTGGAAGTAGTTTCCTTTAATATTTTATTATTTTCCTTTTATATGTGTATTGCAACAAAATAAACTAATTTTAACACTAAAATCAACAGACTGTAAAACATTTTTTTTGTTTTTCAGGAAACAACTATTTAAAGATTTATTTAAACTTTTTTAGTACATTTTTAAAATTTTAAAAATTAAATAATTTCGCAAAAAAAACACCAACACACAAACTCACTCTTAAACGTGACGAAAACATGGAACGATGATAATGATGTTTATGATTTGTATGACCAAACCACTGTTCCATAAAGAAATCTTTGTGAACATAAAAATCGGGAAACATTTTGAAAATAATTAAACAAAATTTTTAAAACAATAAAAGTTTTTCACAAAAAAAACCGCACCGAGGACAACAATTACCCGAGACACTTAAAATCAAACTGATCATAAAATTAATAAATTACAACAGACAAAAATCCCAACAACAAAAACTATTGCGTGTGTCTAAAATATGGACTTCAACAGACAACTGCAGCTGATCTTACTCTTTAAAGCAGAAACAACAACAGCAAAAACAAACAAATGTTAAGAAATTAAAATACAAATGTCATATTTAAGAAATATGCAAATTCAATTAAATGCCTTAAAAATGAAAAAAAACCTCAAAATATTTTTTTTAATAAAACTAAAAGGAAACACCTCTATTTTTATTATTAAGCAAATAAATCACATTATTATAGATCATAATTTCGTAGGATGTGGAGATGAGCGGGAAACTTAATTTCTCTATAAAATCAAAACAAACTAGAAAAAAATAAACAAATTTACAAATTAATTAACAAAACAAAACGCTCAACTGACAATTTTCTTAACACGGCTGTTGAGAAGTGGGGACGTAAACGAAAAGATAAAATGAAAAAAAAGGCCAGCAAGCGAAATTAGAAGAAACAAAATACTTTAGCTACAGTTTTGCTTAGTTACGTCAAAATGTGTAAATTTTTTTTTAACAAATCTTAACAAAAAGATTTAACTGATAAGATGCTGCAAATAGCAACAAAAAAGCATATGCAAAATGTTCTACTTCGAAAAATATTGAGTTAAGTGCGAGCCTTAAATGTTTTGTAACAAGTAAGAGAAATAAAGAATACCCGATAAAATCTGTTTTGGTGATAAGAAAACTAAGACCATATGTGGTCGAATAGGATTTCTCGATATCGAATGCTATGATCTAGTCTATAGTCTAGTCTATAGTCCAGTTGATGGTGTAGTCAATAGTCTAGTCTATAGTCTAGTCTATAGTCTAGTCTATAGTCTAGTCTATAGTCTAGTCTATAGTCTAGTCTATAGTCTAGTCTATAGTCTAGTCTATAGTCTAGTCTATAGTCTAGTCTATAGTCTAGTCTATAGTCTAGTCTATAGTCTAGTCTATAGTCTAGTCTATAGTCTAGTCTATAGTCTAGTCTATAGTCTAGTCTATAGTCTAGTCTATAGTCTAGTCTATAGTCTAGTCTATAGTCTAGTCTATTGTCTAGTCTATAGTCTAGTCTATAGTCTAGTCTATAGTCTAGTCTATAGTCTAGTCTATAGTCTAGTCTATAGTCTAGTCTATAGTCTAGTCTATAGTCTAGTCTATAGTCTAGTCTATAGTCTAGTCTATAGTCTAGTCTATAGTCTAGTCTATAGTCTAGTCTATAGTCTAGTCTATAGTCTAGTCTATAGTCTAGTCTATAGTCTAGTCTATAGTCTAGTCTATAGTCTAGTCTAGCCTAGTCTATAGTCTAGTCTATAGTCTAGTCTATAGTCTAGTCTATAGTCTAGTCTATAGTCTAGTCTATAGTCTAGTCTATAGTCTAGTCTATAGTCTAGTCTATAGTCTAGTCTATAGTCTAGTCTATAGTCTAGTCTATAGTCTAGTCTACAGTCTAGTCTATAGTCTAGTCTATAGTCTAGTCTATAGTCTAGTCTATAGTCTAGTCTATAGTCTCTCTATAGTCTAGTCTATAGTCTAGTCTACAGTCTAGTCTATAGTCTAGTCTATAGTCTAGTCTACAGTAGTCTATAGTCTAGTCTATAGTCTAGTCTATAGTCTAGTCTATAGTCTAGTCTATAGTCTAGTCTATAGTCTAGTCTATAGTCTAGTCTATAGTCTAGTATAGTTAGTCTATAGTCTAGTCTATAGTCTAGTCTATAGTCTAGTCTATAGTCTATAGTCTAGTCTATAGTCTAGTCTATAGTCTAGTCTATAGTCTAGTCTATAGTCTAGTCTATAGTCTAGTCTATAGTCTAGTCTATAGTCTAGTCTATAGTCTAGTCTATAGTCTAGTCTATAGTCTAGTCTATAGTCTAGTCTATAGTCTAGTCTATAGTCTAGTCTATAGTAGTATAGTCTAGTCTATAGTCTAGAGTCTAGTCTATAGTCTAGTCTATAGTCTAGTCTATAGTCTAGTCTATAGTCTAGTCTATAGTCTAGAGTCTAGTCTATAGTCTAGTGTATAGTCTAGTTTATAATCTAGTCTATAGTCTAGTCTATAGTCTAGTCTATAGTCTAGTCTATAGTCTAGTCTATAGTCTAGTCTATAGTCTAGTCTATAGTCTAGTCTATAGTCTAGTCTATAGTCTAGTCTATAGTCTAGTCTATAGTCTAGTCTATAATCTAGTCTATAGTCTAGTCTATAGTCTAGTCTATAGTCTAGTCTATAGTCTAGTCTATAGTCTAGTCTATAGTCTAGTCTATAGTCTAGTCTATAGTCTAGTCTATAGTCTAGTCTATAGTCTAGTCTAGTCTATAGTCTAGTCTATAGTCTAGTCTATAGTCTAGTCTATAGTCTAGTCTATAGTCTAGTCTATAGTCTAGTCTAGTCTATAGTATAGTCTATAGTCTAGTCTATAGTCTAGTCTATAGTCTAGTCTATAGTCTAGTCTATAGTCTAGTCTATAGTCTAGTCCATAGTCTAGTCCATAGTCTAGTCTATAGTCTAGTCTATAGTCTAGTCTATAGTCTAGTTTATAGTCTAGTCTATAGTCTAGTCTATAGTCTAGTCTATAGTCTAGTCTATAGTCTAGTCTAGTCTATAGTCTAGTCTAGTCTATAGTCTAGTCTAGTCTATAGTCTAGTCTAGTCTATAGTCTAGTCTATAGTCTAGTTTATAGTCTAGTTTATAGTCTAGTCTATAGTCTAGTTTATAGTCTAGTCTATAGTCTAGTCTACAGTCTAGTCTATAGTCTAGTCTACAGTCTAGTCTATAGTCTAGTCTATAGTCTAGTCTACAGTCTAGTCTATAGTCTAGTCTATAGTCTAGTCTATAGTCTAGTCTATAGTCTAGTCTATAGTCTAGTCTATAGTCTAGTCTATAGTCTAGTCTAGTCTAGTCTATAGTCTAGTCTATAGTCTAGTCCTATAGTCTAGTCTATAGTCTAGTCTATAGTCTAGTCTATAGTCTAGTCTATAGTCTAGTCTAGTCTATAGTCTAGTCTATAGTCTAGTCTATAGTCTAGTCTATAGTCTAGTCTACAGTCTAGTCTATAGTCCAGGCTATAGTCCAGGCTATAGTCTAGTCTATAGTCAAGTCTACAGTCTAGTCTATAGGCCAGTCTACATTATAAACCATAGTCTAGCCTATAGTCTAATCCATAGTCTAGTCTATAGTCTACTATTTATACTAAATAAAGTAACTAAAACTAATAATATGTTCAACTAGTTGCTGTCTAAAAAAAGTTTTTTTTTTGTTCTAAATTACCTTTGTAGTTCACCTGTACATTCGTTTTCATTCTCCTGACAATTAAAACTGATTTTATGGCTGGTCTTTTCCCCGCCATTTATATTCACTAATTTTTCATTTTTGCAAAAATAATTATGCTTATAAATCACTAGGTCTTGGTTGTTTTTCTTGCTTTGCCACAAAAAAGTACACACAGCAACAACAACCACGACGACAACGACAAGAAGCATAAAGCTTAACGCCTCACCTCTATAATGCGAGAGCAGAATACAACTATTCTACAGAATGTTGCATATCAATTCAAATTGGTATCACAACACAAGCATCATATTAAACGTTGGCGTCATCATAGTCAGTTGCAGTATCATCATCGTCATCATTATCATCATCATGCATTTGATCGGCATGTTTTTCTATTTTGTTCTTTTTCTCATTTCTATATGTCTATTAGTCTGTACGTTGAGTCTGTGTTTTGCACCATGTTGTACAGCTGTTGTAAACATTTCAAAAACAAATAAAAGGTGTTTGTTTTTATTTTATTTTCTTCCGTCGAGAGTGTGAGTTTAATGAAATTTGTTGCAAGTAGTTCTACATACAAATGTGTGTATGTTTCTTTGCTGTATATGTTGTTGTTGTTTTGAGAAACAGAGCAAGATTTAATGCCTATTAAGTTCAATGAATTTGATTTAACAGTGGATTTTTGTCTAAAACTCTTACACGCACTCAAACACATTCACAAACACACACAATTTGCTGTGGTAGAAAACGTGAGAAAGAAAAATGTTTAGACTTTGGCAGCCTAAAAGTAGGCAAATCAATTTAAAAACTGTAAATAAATTTTACTTGGTATAAAGAACTATAAATTCGTTTGTGTAGCAAAATCTTTTTTTTCTAAAGGTGTTTCAGAGTAGAAAATTTGTTGTATGTATTAGAGTTGCAGTAAAATTAATTTAGCGTGCAAAAATGTATAAGTTATTTGGCGAACAAATCTCTTTTTTGTTCTCTATAGACTAGACTATAGTCTATTATATAGTCTAGTCAATAGTCCAATCTATAGTCTAATCTATAGTCTAGTCTATAGTCTAGTCTATAGTCTAGTCTATAGTCTAGTCTAAAGTCTAGTCTAAAGTCTAGTCTATAGTCTAGTCTATAGTCTAGTCTATAGTCTGGTCTATAGTCTAGTCTATAGTCTAGTCTATAGTCTAGTCTAGTCTAGTCTATAGTCTAGTCTAGTCTAGTCTAGTCTAGTCTAGTCTATAGTCTAGTCTAGTCTAGTCTAGTCTAGTCTAGTCTAGTCTAGTCTAGTCTAGTCTAGTCTAGTCTATAGTCTAGTCTAGTCTAGTCTAGTCTATAGTCTAGTCTATAGTCTAGTCTATAGTCTAGTCTATAGTCTAGTCTATAGTCTAGTCTATAGTCTAGTCTATAGTTTAGTCTATAGTCTAGTCTATAGTCTAGTCTATAGTCTAGTCTATAGTCTAGTCTATAGTCTAGTCTATAGTCTAGCCTATAGTCCAGTCTATAGTCTAGTCTATAGTCTAGTCTATAGTCTAGTCTATAGTCTAGTCTATACTCTAGTCTATAGTCTAGTCTATAGTCTAGTCTATAGTCTAGTCTATAGTCTAGTCTATAGTCTAGTCTATAGTCTAGTCTATAGTCTAGTCTATAGTCTAGTCTATAGTCTAGTCTATAGTCTAGTCTATAGTCTAGTCTATAGTCTAGTCTATAGTCTAGTCTATAGTCTAGTCTATAGTCTAGTCTATAGTCTAGTCTATAGTCTAGT